ACACTAGTCGTCTGAGAGCCAAATGATTTGGCCGCCAAATCATCAATTTTCGCGGAGACCTAACATTGACTGTGCATTGGAAATTCCAATTCGGAGTATCGCCATCAGAACAATACAATGTCGGCCGGAGAAACCCGTTCCTTACACAACTGGTGATTCATCGAAAATCTCCTGTATTTTTGGCTCCTCGATATCTTCTTTGACTTGCGCGCGTTGCTTGTAAATTAGCTTTCGTCTGGCAGTAGCAAGGTCAGCATTGACTCTGCCAATGATTCCCTGCTCTGCGCCACTATCGTTGAGTATCCTGAGCCCACAATGACCCCAAGCTCGTTCCCGTCTACCGAGGACAGCAAGCGTTTCATCCTTGGCTCACTTGAGAGCTGTCTGAAAGTCTTTCACTGCTTCCTCGAGGTAATCCAACTCCGCGCGAGCTTTACCACGTCGATGAAAGGCCTAAGTCCGAGGGAACTCAGGCACCGTATCACACGCGAGGCGAACCGTGTCCTAGCCACACCTTCACATTCTTAGGATCCAACGCGATGGCTCTCTGAGCATCCTCTAGCCCTTCTCGAGGGCGGCGAAGCTTTAGCCGCACCAAGGCTCTATTGGACCATAGTACTGATACATCCGAGCGGAGACGGATGGCCCTCGTATAATGCAACTGGATGACAACGGGATCGAATGCCGTCCAGCCAGTCCACATAACTCACCTCTGCTTCATCCAAGTCTCCCGAGGCGAAGCTCTCATTGCCTTTTATTTTCTCAGCCTCACACATGGCGTGCCTTTCTGCTGCCGACATAGCCTCAACTCGTTCGGAAGACAAACTCTGGTCGATTGCCAATGGAGCCTCTACAGGTGCTACGCTGAAATGGAGCTGCAGTGCCTCCACGAGATACTCTGCCCAAATATTCTTTCCAAAGGGTCGCATCAATCGTCTCATGCCATGCTATCGGAGCGACTCATCCAACTATGATAAACGATGATCTGGATTACCTCTCCTCCGTGTTGGTTACCTTAACGTCCACAGCATCGCACGCAGCTTCGACATCGAACCTGACCATTTTCAATCCCATCCCTTCCGCACTCTACATCTGACCTATCCCAGGCTCTGTAATAGTCCTTCATGGCCGTCATATCTCGTGCGTAGGGGTTCCTCGGTTCACCATCCCCGCTTCTCATGTCGACACTGTCTCCAGCAGTCATCTCAGCGGATATCGAGTCGCCCTCATCGCAGGAACGCACCTCCCTAATCGGGCATGCCTTTCTAGTACCCACTGAATCTGAACCGAGCTGATACGCTGATCAGCCAACTTGCGAGAGGCGACCTCCTGGGATCTGCTCGT